ACGGACTGAGGGCGGGTCGTTTTCAAAATGTCGCTCTCGCCTTGGCGCCACGCACATTCCTTTTCAACAATTGCAAGAGTTTCACTGGTGCCCATGGTCAACGTACCAGAAATGGTGTTCTCGAAAGATTCAGGATTATGAGGACGCAACAGTTCCGTTAATTGGCGGTGTTGAAGCCCACAAATGCCTTTCCGGCTGGATTCCGGATCGCCAAGACGCAACAGTCAGATTGATATGTGGCGTTGGAGTCCAGCGAATCATATTTTGGCATGCTTCAGGATCTTCAAACGGTTGTCTTCCAACGAGGCAGTTCACCCAGTGGAAATGAATCCCTGTAGGTGCCTATGAAGACGGAGCTTGGAGGGAGGGTTTATTCCAACATCGCGGATGACTCTTGGGTTTATACTGGTCCTCTTCATGCTCCTCCTCCTCCTCCTCATCGTCATCATCATCATCATCATCAGCATCATCATCATCATCATCATCATCCTCCTCCTCATCCCCCTCCTCCCCCTCCTCCCCCTTCAAGTGTCGGCCAAAAAAAGGTCCGAAAGCGTCCACGCAAGCCTTGGCCATTACATGCTCGCTCCTCCTTTCAGTGCAAGTCGGCAGGGCGCGAAGAACCACGAGGGCCCACCGCGAGGGTCGGCGGCGAGCGATGGGGGGGAAGCGAGAAGGCGAGGGACTCATCAGAAGGCGGCGGGCCTTCTCGGAAGCCCTCGCGCCTTCTCAAGAGGTGGCTGTGCGTCCTCTGGGGAGGGCCTGGGAAACTTCTCGGGGGGGCCGGGGGACTTCCGAGCCTTCTGAGAGGGCCCGCCCCTTCTCACTCCCCCCCCCCCCTCGCTCGCTCGCCGCCGAAGCACGGCAGTGCCGCGCAAAAATCGTCGGGACGCCGCGAGGAGCCCACCGAGGGCCCACGGCGAGAGGGGGCACGGAGGGCCCCGGCAGCTCGCGGGGGGGGGGGCCGCGGGGCAGGCCGGAGCGAGGGGAGGCGCGAGAGGCAGGCGCGGCCGCGTCTCGTGCTCGTCCTGGGCGCTCCGCGGGGGACCGCACGGAGACATGCTGATACTGCGAGTCCTCCCTGGGAGGCGCGCGTCCGACCCGAACACTTTTGATCCGCGGGTCGAGGGCGCACCTCTTCCGGTCGAAGCCAAGCGGGCCGCGCGAAGCTTGGATTAGGCAGAGAAGAGGAGGGAGGAAGGCGTCCGACCCGAACATATAGCGTGCCCATCCTGCATGTCGTTTCCCGAGCGGCGTGGCGGGAGAGCGCCCGCCACGGCGAATCCACTGCAAGATATTTCTCGGTGCGCGCGTCTCCCCTGGGGGGGGGGGGGGGGGCGACGCACATGCAGTATCAGTTTGCTGGGGTGACGCCGATCACGAGGGACCACGACGAGGCAACCCGCCGAGAAGCCACGAAAGCTTCAGCACCTCCCGAGCACCCACGAGAGGCCGAGAGGAGAGGAGGGGCCACGGAGCAAAGCCACGGAGCGAAGCCACGGAGAGCTCGGCAAGCCAGAACATCTAGGAGGGACCTCGACGGGGGGGCACGCTGACGAATCACGCCGGGGACCACCGCAACTGCGTCGACTCCGACAGCGTATGACAGGCATTAAAGGTGGGCCTCAACGAAGGGCCGGAGTAACGTCTAGAACTCCCAGGCACTCACGACGAGCGGCTACGCCGAGGTGTGTACTCCCGGCAAGAATAGGCACGAGCGAGCACGCAAGACGGGCACGATGGGAGATCACGGCACTTCGGCATATCCCCGCACACCCACGAATGGCCCGGACGGCGGGTCACGGTGGAGGCCCAGAGCATCTTCCTCGAACCCTAGTCGCAAAAACTTTTACATGTGGGCTCTGCAGCGCACATCTCGATGTTTGGGGAGCCCTCACAGGCATAGTGATTTAGCCGTTGCCATGCAGAAGCAGAGGCCGCTGGAATCGAGGGCACATCAACCCACACTTACGCAAGACGCTCGACTGAGTGGCCTGAGCCAGGCATCGAGGTCACCAACAGCATGCCAGCTCGGCAATCAATCATCAGAAGAAGAAACAATGTCATAAACAGAAGCTGTAGGAGAGAGGGGGGCCCCAGCGCAGACCCAAGAAAGCGTATGTTTATGGCGTTTTTTCTTCTTCGGATCGCGGCTCCTGCTCGCTGCACCAATCGCTCCAGCGGGTGCTGGCGAGGTGAAACAGTCGAGCAGGAGAGGGGTGAGGGCGGAGAGGAGGAGGAGGAGGAGGAGGAGGACGAGGAGGAGGAGGAGGAGGAGGACGAGGAGGAGGAGGAGGATGAGGAGGAGGCACCCTTGCGCAGGACGGCGAGGCCCTCGCAGGCGTGCCCGGACTCCGACGGCCTCCGGCCGAGAGGCTGCCCGCCGCTGCGGGCGAGAGGCCCCCGTGACCAGCACTGCAGAGAGCACCCGCCCGCGGAGGGAGTCCTTGAGGCTCTCGGGGTGGTCTACGGGGTTGACAACCACGTCGTCGTCCGTGGCCTTCCCGCTCGCTCCCTCCCCCGTGCTTGCGCATTCCGCCACCGCGCCGCAGGCACCGAGTGGAGTGTGCTCAGGTCCCGTCGAGCTCTGCAACTTTGAGAGGGAGGGAGGGAGGGAGGGAGGGAGAGAGAGAGCGAGAGCGAGAGCGAGAGCGAGAGAGGGGGGGGAGGGAGGGCGCGCAGCAACCAGACGAGAGTCTTACACAGGAGCCTGAAAAGCGCGGGAAGCGACTAGTACCAGCATGTGCCAAGCTCGCCGCACGAGCGCATGCCCTTGCGCGTGCATCGACTCCGCTGCGCAGAGCCCCTGGTGCCAAGCAAAATGATCACCGTGGGGGCGGCATGCGCCAGACCGAACAAAAGCCCACCACATCAGCAGAGGAAAAAGCAGTAGGGGGAGGAGGACGAGGAGGAGGAGTGCTTGGCACCTGAATAGCGCTCGGTATTCAGAGCGGTGGTATACACGGCAAGCCTAGGGCGCCGTACCGGGCCGCGACTGAGCACTAAACGAAAGCACAGGAAAGGCTGATCGAATCCGCGCCGAGCGCACGATATACTGAGAAGTCGAAGCTTAAAGCGGCTTCCTCTGGCTGGCCTGGACAGATTGGCACTGCAATTCCAGGAAGGAGGAAGAAGAGAGAGGCGAAGAGAGAAGGGGATGGGACGAAAGCGGGTGGCCGCAGATCCCTTTTAGTTCTCTGCGTTAAGGGTTGTAAGGCTCTCTGGAATCAACAAAAAATTCGGAGAACAAATGTTCGGCACACTAGGAGTTTCGCATACTATCCTGTGTCGCCCTTAGCGTACGAGACAGTCCAAAAGGCCCCTAAGATGGGCCCAAGTTGGCCCAAAGGTCCCCAAAAGGGTCGCAAAGGTCCCCACGATGGCCCCAAGAGAGGCTCAACAGGGGGAACACCAACTACATTTCGAGCCCGTGACTCGAAGATGGGCCCCGAGACCGCCAGGAAGGCTCCAAGATATCCCCAGGAATTGGGGGGCCCCCTAGTGGCCCTCAAGAGACCTCAAAGACAGTGTCCCCACAAAGGCTCCCCGACCCGGGCACGTTGGCGGGACTGGCCGAAGACCACTCGATCCGCCGCCTCCTGTGGTCTTGCCACAGGGGTGCCTGTGGCGTGTTAGATCCTCATTCTGATCTTTCCCGCCATCCTCCCCCAAGTGTTCCCCGAAGGGTTTCCACAACGGCTGGGGGAACACATGGTCCGATAGCTTGGCAGAGCTATTGCCAAACGCTCGGCCACATGGGGGATTCTCTGAAAGGCACGGGACGGCGGTGATTCGCCGTAGGCGTCTTCGATAATTCTGATGGGCTCCGAGTGTTACCTAACCAACTGGATGGCAGAGAGAAGCGGGGCGGAGATAGGGAAGCAGGATTGTGAGGGAGGAGAGTGCGGACTGCGGGGGAGGAGACTGTGCTGGAGGAGGGGCGGGGCCCTTGCAGCGACAGCTCGGTAGATCGGATCGTAGCCAAGGGGCCCGCCCCCCACACGAATCCATCTCAGGTCGTGTTGGCCGGCACGGGACGAGCAAGCGTCATCACACGCATATCTTCCCCTGCTTCTTTCCTGCTGGGGGCCGGCGGGACGTCAAAGTGGGGCTGGGGCAGAATTGGGGCTAGAGAAAAAAAAGGCTCCAAGCGGGCCCCTGAAGACGGAAACGTGAGCAACCCTCCCTCTGCTCGGGGGCGTCCAAGAAGAGGGGGGCGTCCCAAAGGGGCCGGGGGCGCAAATCTTGGCCCGCGGCATGTGCGCGGCTGGGGGGGGGGGCCGCGGACGCAAGGAAATAAGAAAAGAAGGGGCACCATGACATCTGGGGGGGTAACCTGGACATTCCCACCCCCAGCTACGCATCACCCCCTTTTGGCCGCCCCCGACCATTTTTCTCCGGGACTTCTGATCAGTTGAAACACATGATCCGCCGACCTTTTTCGGCGTGCGAGACCTCACCGTTCACCAGGTGGCTCAACAATTTCTCGCCCGAAACCCACCAACGCCCCCCACCTCGCCCACACCACGGCCCAGCATCCCCACCTCCAGAACAACTGTTTTCGGGCCCCCCCACCCTGATCGCCCGAAACCCACCAACGCCCCACCTGGCCAACACCACGGCCCTGCATCCCCACCCCCAGACTTGGGCCCCCCCACCCGACAATTTTTCGCCCGAAACCCACCAACGCACCCCAGAGACGTCTGTTTCTGGAACCCCTCAACCGACAATTTTTCGCCCGAAACCCGCCAACGCCCCCCACTTCGCCTTCACCACGGCCCGGCACCCCCACAAACGTCTGTTCTGCGGGCCCCCCACCCTGCAATTTCTCGCCCGGAACCCACCAACGGCCCCCCACTTGGCCCACACCACGGCCGGGCACCCCCACCTCCACAAACGTATGTTTTGTGGGCCCCTCATCCGACAACTGCTCGCCCGAACTCGATCAACGCCCCCCACCCCGCCCACACTGCGGCCCGGCATCCCCGCCTCCAGAGATGTCTGGTTCCAGGGCCCCCCCCCCCCGCAAGATTTCACCCGAAATCCACCAACGCCCCCCACCTGGCCCACACCACGGCCCAGCGCCCCCATCCCCAGAGACGTCTGTTCTGGGAGCCCCTCACCCGACAATTTCTCGCGCGGACTCTACCAACGCCCCCCACACGCCCACACCGCGGCCCGGCATCCCCACCTCCAGAGGAACTTTTTTCGCGGCCCCCCACCCTACAATTTCTCGCCCGAAACCCACCAAGGGCCCCCCACCTGGCCCACGCCACGGCCCAGCATCCCCACATCCACACACGTTTGTTTTGTGGGCCCCCCGCCCGACAACTGCTCGCCCGAATTCGATCAACGCCCCCCACCCCGCCCACACTGCGGCCCGGCATCCCCGCCTCCAGAGATGTCTGGTTCCAGGGCCCCCCCCCCCGCAAGATTTCGCCCGAAATCCACCAACGCGCCCCACCTGGCCCACGCCACGGCCCAGCATCCCCATCCCCAGAGACGTCTGTTCTGGGAGCCCCTCACCCGACAATTTCTCGCGCGGACTCTACCAACGCCCCCCACACGCCCACGCCACGGCCCGGCATCCCCACCTCCAGAGGAACTTTTTTCGTGGCCCCCCGCCCTACAATTTCTCCCCCGAAACCACCAACGCCCGCGACCTGGCCCACACCACGGCCCAGCACCCCCACCCCCAGAGACGTTTGTTCTCGGGCCCCCCACCTGACAATTTTAAGGTTTTGCCAGTTATCCGTCAGGAGGGAAACTTTCGCAGCCCGATTGAACGGCAAAGCGTGGAGCTGTTTTTCGTGATGATCTTCCCCTCGTAGTAGTTTCATACTCAGCTACAAGCGATGCATCGGCGACGTGCTCCTCGTGGCCATGGCTCGGCGTTGCAACGCGCCGTTAAGCTACGGCAAGGGCCACGGTACCCAGAGGAGGGCCGGCCAAACGGCGGACGCGCGGGACGCGGGCCGAAGCCCCCTTCAGCGGCAGAAGCCAAGACAGCTTCGGAAAAAAAGTCAGCAAACGAGGCTGAGGCAAGGCAGGGGCGCGACTGAATCAACTCCCCCCCCGGCAACCCTGGCGCGCTCCACTCGCGCGGGCGGGCGTCGACGATTTGTCAACGCCCCAAATGTGCTTATGAAGCGGCCCGTCGCGCCGCGCCCGGCAGGCAGCCCACCCGCCACCTGGCTCACAGCGCTCTGGGATACTCAGCGCGTAGCACGGCAGCTCCAGGCGCGTCACCTCGCCCGTTCTGCGCGCACTTGAAACGGCATGGGTTGCCTCGATGGGGCACCTGCAGCAAAGCTGCAGGTGTCCCTCGTTCTCTTCCACTCAACCCCCACTGTGGCCATAACGGCCCCAGCTGGTGTCACCTCGCCAGTTGCCACAGCTCCAGCTCCCAGACGACCACTAGTTGTGGGCGTTCTCTCGCCATGGGGGAATGGAATCCGCATTCCGCTGCTCGTTGTCGGAGCACGCCCGCCTTGGCAAGGCACTTCCCACGCGGCGCCGCGAGGTGTCGGCTGCGTCATGCCAAGGCGCGCCCAGCCAGAAATCCCTCGCAGCCGGCGGCCCCGCTGCCGCGGCGGAGCTCGAAGAGGCAACTCCCGCGCGTGAGCGCGTGCCCCACTGAGTCGGGTTGGCAGCCCGGCGTCGCCTGGATTCCCGTCGATCATCCGGCGCGACTGCTTCGCCTCTTACCTACCTGGCCGTCATTCTCGGCCACCCTGCCCTTGCCCCTGGCGACGCCCGACGATCCTGCTGCCGCGGGACGGCCCTCGGGCCTCATAGAGCGAGGCCTCTTTCATCCTTTGACAGACTGCGCCCGACGGGAGGCACCCACCCCGACATAGTCAAGTGGTGCCTAGGCCTTTGCTTCGCAGGCTGGCGGCCACGGAGCTCTCGGAAATTCGACTGGCGGCTGGCAATCGTCGATTTTCCGTTCCAGGGCAGCTTACACTTGACTGAGCGGTTGGACTGCAGCGCTCCGCGGGGACTCTCTGCACCACGCGGACCATCCCATTCAGGGCTCTTCGCGATGGCGGTCCCCTGGGTGATCCTAGCCCCAGTCAGAAGGTTCTAAAGCTGCATAGCCGCCCCCGTTCAGCATGCTTCTGCTGATGCACGGCCACCACATCCATCGAGGAACGACAGCGTTCTTGCCAATTGCAGGCGTCTTGAAATGTACGTTCTGGAACTTGATCCACCTGCGAGCCAGCTTCTTGGCCTTCTCCTGCTTGCAAGTTCTCTGTCGCTCGGGTAGCTCGTCATCAGGGGACGTGGGCGGCCCATCAAAAACGGCCATGATGTTGCTGTGCAGCGCAGTATTTCCTTGCAGACAATTATTTCTACGAGCGCCGACTCCATCGTCACTCGTATATTTCCACCTGTTCTGTGCTCGTACCTGCACGCGGTCGGCATCATAGCCCGTCCATCACCCCCCTGCACTCTGGGCCGTCGGGTTGGGGGCGTAGCCCTCTCGATCCCGATTGG